GATTAGGGGGGTAATTAATTTTGCTTTACAAACACAGTCATGGCTCTGTGCGACTGGAGAGGGCGGCTATCGTCTCAGACAGCAATTCTCCCGGCAATGGAGTCTCCTCCATTAAATTCACAGGAGCCTTTGCTTTAACATTCAATCTTTATAGCACAAAACAGTCCCTCCTCTCCGACTACTCTTCATGCAGAACCATGAGACCTGTTACCATGGAAACGTCCTTAGAGATAGTGCGGCTGCACAAACATGAAATGCTTAAATGCCTCCGTCAAGCACGTATCGAGCTGAAACGACGGTGCTTGGAATACAAGGGAAGTATCCTTTATATTCGATCGAGAACGCACAGGCAGCCCAAGAGCTCGAGCCATCTGCACATCACACACAGGCTGTCAATGTTTGTTGTTTTAATTCAAAGTCTTTACAATTGGGGCTTTTGCAGTTCCGCAGGGAGCAACGCAAAGCAATCAGTTTTAAACACAGAAGACGTTCAGGAACAAACCAAATATTTAGTCATCTGTACTAGCTGTAACTGTAAACCAGGCAGGTTTGATCCAAATCTGGAGATGCACTTGGCATTTATCAAGTGCATTCAAGGTATACAACATGCACAACATCCAGGAAATCAACCCTATAACCTTCCATATAATTAATAATTGACTAGCCGAATGGGCTTCGCCAAGCTGTCCTCGTTCCTTCCATGCAGCCACACAGCATGTGGCACTGAGCAGAGCACTCTCTTTTTTTATTCACACATCTATGGATCTGCCACCATGGTTACGGAGGTGAAGGATGAAGACTGATGGAAGAACACACAAGCAAGAAGGAGGTGAGGGACAGAGAAGGAGAGAGAGAGAAGAAAAGAACCAGGGCGGAAGGGGAAACCTGCTAAAAAACTTGGGAGGAAAATGGGTTGAAAATTGGGAGATGATGAGTGAGATATGATGTGACAAGTTCGCCTGAGCGGCTGTGGAGTGACCGCATTGTCTCATTGGCGATGGCAGAACTGCTGAAGCTCAAGGAAATAAGTGTTATAATTATGAAACATCTAAACGAGTGGATAACCAATATGGGTTATGATATGTAGACAGCAGAGGGGTTGATATACAGGGGTTGGACAAAATAATGTGAACACCTGGAAAATACACAATATTTCTTTTACCACCATTTGCCTTTAATACAGCTTCCAACCCTAGAATAGATTCATATAACTTCTGAATTGTTTCCAGTTGAATGTTGTCTATCAGAACATTCGCCAGTTGCTTCAGAGATGTTGGAGCAGATAATCTGCTTCTCACTCTTCTCTCCAAAACTGTCCACAGTGGTTTGTTAATATTCAGGTCATGTGATTTGTCTGACCAGGACAGATATGAAAGTGCACCTCGGTCCAAAATTGTCCAGGTTTTATGATCATGACACCGTCTTTCTTGCATTTTAGTACTGGTGTCTGTGATCAGTTTCAGCAAATCGCAGTTCTTTCTTGGTTGTTTTTTTGTGGAAACAAGGTCTTCAAGGTGAATACTGAGGTTTGCTGACACTTTGCTGCAGTAGTTCAGTGTTTCTTGGAAACAATCTTTCTTAGTGTTTGACAGTCCCTATCGGTTCTCGCCCACTATTCTTCTTCACTGATGAAGTCTTGCCATGCTTTGCGTACAAAGTCATATTTGTAGAGACTGTTGTTCTTAAAATACGAAACAATTGGGCTGTGAAGGCTACAAATGCTCCTGCTAAACATGATCCCATGATTTGTCCTTTTTGGAAATCTGAAAAGTCACCCATTTCACTGACCGCTTGTTACAGCCGCTGAACACAACTTACTCTACACCTAGATACAACCTAGAGAATACAAAGAACATTTGTATCACTGTAGCCTACATAAATTACATTAAACCCTATAATAAGAGTGCTCACATTATTTTGTCCAACCAAAATAATTGTCAATTGTTAAACCAGCATGAAATTTTACCTGATTTACTGCATGAATGGAAATTTATGGTCCAATTGTGTATACAATTATTATAAAGAAATATTTGTAATTATTTGTTAAAAATCCTCTAAAATGATTTGCCTTTTTTGTTGACTTCATAATTCCCTTTTAAATTCCAGTATGTAACAACCAGTTTACACAATCCAGTTTTTCCTGCGGAAACAAAAATGGTTGTGAACTGCATTTCTATTTCTATTTTACTGATATTAAACAAGGTTTACACTAAAAAACTGAATTCAAACAATTTCATATTTTTCACAAATATTGAAACATAAAATGTGCAATAGTTTGGATTTTTTTTTTTTTTTAAAGAAATTAATTATATTTACCAAGGACACATTAAATTGATCAAAAGCAACATTAAAGATGCTTAAAGTGTCACCAAAAAAAAAAAATCTAATAAATTCTGTTCTTTTAAACTTTCTATTCATAATTGAATCCTGAAAAAATGTATCATGGTTTCCACAAAAATATTACGCAGCACAACGGTTTTCAACATTTATAATAAAAATGTTTCTTGATCATCCAAATATTACAATGATTTCTGAACATTCATGTGACACTGAAGACTGGCGTAATGGCTGCTGAAAAATCAGCTTTGCCATTACAGAAATAAATTATATTTTAAAATGCATGAAAATAGAAAACAGTCATTTTAAACTGTAATGATATTTCAAAATATTATTACACCAAATAAATGTAGCCTTGGTGAGCACAAGAGATATTTTCTCAAAAAAAATCCTACCTCTATATATACACAAAGGTACGTAATGTGAAAAAAAACATGCACCGTCAAGGCTGTTTGTAATTCTCTGACATTAAGCAGAATGAGCATTTCTCTGTTATCATGCCAGCAGGCACAATTATTAGTCTAATACTAATCTGAACTAACACATTTAATAAGCTTTACCATTCTTTGAAAACACCATTTCCCACCCTTTATTCTCATTCAGACACCTACAGAAGAAAGAAACAAATGACAGTGAAATGAAAAGTGAAGGATCCAAACCTCGTTGCAACAATTCGAGAAATCTGCGCCTTGTGCTTAAACAAAAGCATAAGGGAGCAAGACCAGTCTGTGTCTGAGTAAAGGAGGCGTTTAATATCTCCCAAAATCACTGGCCGTTTAGGTATGCCTCAAGCACAATTTTATGACCTGGGCCTCATCTGGTATCATTACACCTAACGTAAATAACAGCTGTAAATGTTTCACACGGAGGCAGTGGGGTGCTCAAACACCAAGGTGACAAAATCATTCTTTGAAAACACCATTTCCCACCCTTTATTCTCATTCAGACACCTACAGAAGAAAGAAACAAATGACAGTGAAATGAAAAGTGAAGGATCCAAACCTCGTTGCAACAATTCGAGAAATCTGCGCCTTGTGCTTAAACAAAAGCATAAGGGAGCAAGACCACAGTCTGTGTCTGAGTAAAGGAGGCGTTTAATATCTCCCAAAATCACTGGCCGTTTAGGTATGCCTTCAAGCACAATTTTATGACCTGGGCCTCATCTGGTATCATTACACCTAACGTAAATAACAGCTGTAAATGTTTCACACGGAGGCAGTGGGGTGCTCAAACACCAAGGTGACAAAATCGAATCTATTTATGAGAAAACGGCTTAAATCACCATCATCTTATTTCGAAACTATATGAAGTCACATGAGAATAATCAGCCTCCCTTGAAATTAAAAAAAAAAAAATCCTGATTCTCATTTGAAATGGGTTAACTAATTAATGGCAAACTACTCTCCATGCATGTAGAACTAGTTGTTCCAAACTCAATATCCAAAATTCAAATAATCAATATCATTGCAGTTCTCAGCCCAAATGTTTAAAATGACTTTTTTCCAGACTAAGCGTAATGTACTAAAATATTAGAAATAACCACCACAATCAGATTCTCAGTCCTCATGTTAGAAGCGGCTGTATTAGATACAAGCCTGTGACAACACTTTCTGTATTATTGTGCTAACTTGCTTCGTATCAAACAGGCTAGTTAATACATTTTAGTAAATTTTAATGCAACTATTAAAGCAGTCTTTTGTTATTGCTAGTTTTACAAAAGTTACAAGACATTCAATGTTGTGCATTACAGTGTTTTTTCCCTCAGTTACAAAATTAAGGCATCAGGAATTTCCCTTTCCTGTGGGGTAAAACTACTAATGCATAGCCTCTAGTGGGTAATTATTTTAAAGTGCCAATCTTTGTGAAAAAAAAACAATACCCATAGCTTATCGGGCACAGTCTAACACGTTCCAGCCATCAACATGCCGGATTATCCGGGTTAGAGATTACATTACATGAGGTTGTTATAATTCCTGCACATTGTTTTCTCCTCACTGAGCAAGATTTATATTTGCCAAAGTGCATTTGGAGCAAATGATGCGCAATTGTAAAAAAAAAGAAAAGAAAAAAAAGCCAGAAACTCACTGCACCTTCAAAATCATCCAAACGAGGTGCGTAGACCAAACAAAATTTCCAAAAGGTAAAATACATGAAAAAAGTCCACACACACCACCAGAAATCATATGCAAAAAGTTGTTTCTGGTGGAATGTGTGGACTTTTTTCATGCATTTCACCAATTGTTAAATAATTTTTTTTTTTTCCCCTGAGACTTTTATTTCTCAGAATGGGAGTTTCTCACAATTCTGAGAACTGAGGGGGGGGAAAAAAAAACCTTTGGGAGATAAAATGTCCCTACTTCTACTACTACTATTATTATTATTATTTTTATTACTTGCAGAGTATTATAATAATGAGAATAAAAATAAATCCATCCTAAAAATATATGAAGAATTTTAGTTTCCTCTGATTTCAGAGATTCATACAATCTTAAAAGTCAAACTCACAGAAACCTAGGAATACATCAAAATAGGCAAATAAATCAGAGGAATCGCTAGAACTGAAACAGAAAGCAGTCTTACAAAAACAAAACCCACTTTATTTAGACAGTGTTCAGGTCTCAGTATCAGTGTGCCGGGGAAAATGAAAAGAGAAAGCTACAAACTTCCAAGAACAGCGATAACGGAGTCTACACAAACTTTATTTTCTTAAAAATACATCACCATAAAATAAAAAGCAATAAAAGATATATATGGAGATTGGGGAGGGCAAGGTTTCGCACCCTGTTTTTCGGTGATATACAGCCTGGAAAGTTTTGGAAGAGGAAATACGTGTGTATGTGCATGTAAGTGTGTGTGTGTGTGTGTGTGTGTGTAGTGGGGTGGGCCGTGTTGAAGTGAGGGCTTGGTTCACCTGAGGAGGAGGACGACGACAGCCTCCACACAGCAGTAATGCAGCAGTCACATGGGCACACACAAAGAAAAGATAGAGAGAACAGCCATAACAGGAAGAGAGAAGGAGAAAAGAGAGGTAGTAAAGTGAGAGAGGTAGAGCGAGGCGGGGCAGCTACTCTGTCAGCACCTAAGGGAGGAGCACAAAAGGCCAGCTACAGCTAAGATAAGCAAAGTTCCTCCATCACTTCAGTGTGATACCATATGCACCTCCGTTTGCATTCTCCGAGAGAACAAAACAGAGGTCTTTAAAGTGTGTTTGTGTGTATTTGTCAATCTGCACAGTATCTGAAGCAAACAAAGGTTAATGCGTGTGTGGGTACATCTCTAAAAACAGCAGTCTGGTGTGCTCTCGTTCGGGGATACAGTACTCGGGACGCATTTAGGACAGCGGAGCACTCGTGGCGGTGTGAGTTACAATCTCTCATTGATCTCTGGGTCACAGCGTGGCTGACCAAGTAGAGTACCATAAAGCAAATCTGCTTCACACACCATGCACAGATTGAATACAATTGCACCGGTGAGGTAGATTATCAGATAGATGTGCTCAAGGAAGGAAGCCACTGGGAACTCTGCTGAAATGGATACTGCACCACAAACACGTAAGGCAGTGGAAAGGTTCTCTGCGTGCCACAGGACTCCAGAGGAGACGTGACACTGTGGACCGGCTCGTAGCTACAGTGTGATTTCGATCTTAGAGCGATTAGCTTACGCGGATTAGCACAATATACACATATGATTCCTTCAGTCACATTACAGGGAAGAGCCGGATGCCTGCAGCAAGCTTTCTCTTCAAATGCAGGAGTCTGCGGAACGCTCTCGAAAACAAACACAGAGGAGAGAAACAGAACAGAAGCCAGTGCTATTACTAGCCAAGAGACCCAGGAAAGGCAGCACACTCTTGACTTTGTGCCCCGAGCGTGTGAATGTTTGTGGGTGAGGAGGTGAGTGCTCAGCTCAAACGAGAGGATTTAGAGATGACCCACCCATCAGCAAGGCGAAACTACAAAAGGCAACGACAGCAGGTCTGTGGGGGTCCCGGATTAATCTGGATTTATGTCAAATGTGCGTGTGTATGTGTACGTGTGTGCAGGGATGGGGTGAATAGTTTAGTTTTCAGCAGCACGAGGAGGGGGCGCAGATACAGGAGGTCCCACTGGGCCAGGGGGCATCCCATCAGGCTGTGCGGTTGGAGGTGGACCTGGGTCTATAAGGAGACAATGATGTCGTATTAAAAAAAGTAGCCCAAAAAAAAAAAGATAGAGCCCAGGACAAATGTGCAATGCAGAGGAACCAGAGGATGGGATCTAGTGATAGAACGGATACTCACACATGCCGTTGGGTGGTCCAGGGTGTCGAGGTCCCATCATGGGAGGCATGCCACCCTGTGGGGGTCCAACTGGGGGAGGTCCAGGCATCATTCGGCCTGGTATAGGCTGACCTGGCATGGGCTGGCCTGGTCCAACCAGTGGTCCTGAATTAAGTAACAAAAGACATATTGATGTGCTACAGAATATTCACTTTTGGAAAAGAATTAGCAGGGTTTCTGCAGGTTTTGTGAAGGTAAATTTTAGACTTAAGAACTTTAAGACCAAGTAAAGAAAATTTAAGGAATAAATGAGAAAGAAGAAAAATAGAGTACGATTAAAATAAGGGGGGGGGGGAAAGTCTGCCATTAGGGAAAAACTAGCTTTTTAAAAAGGAAAATAATTTTTTTTCTGATCCCACTGACAGGTATTTGTTCTTGTTTTAAGCATAAACTTACTTAATTTGTTAAATACATTCATTTCGCATCTCAAGTAAATATATCTTGATGTAAGGGTTTAGATATTTGAACTGAAAAACAAGACAAAAATAGATATCTGCAGTGCATGAAACATTTAATGCCATGACTTTATAAACAAGACTTTCTGCTCCAATTTAAGACATTTTAATTTGTGACCATGGACCACAAAACCAGTCTTAAGTTGCACGGGTATGTTGTAGCAATAGCCAAAAAATACATTGTATGGGTCAAAATTATCAATTTTTTCTTTTGTGTTAAAAGTCATTGGAATATTAAGTAAAGATCATGTTCCATGAAGATATTTTGTAAATTTCCTACCATAAATATATCAAAACTTCATATTTGATTAGTAATATGCATTGTTAAGGACTTCAAACGTGATTTTCTCAATATTTAAATTGTTTTGCACCCACAGATTCCAGATTTTCAAGTAGTTGTATCTCAGCCAAATATTGTCCTACCCTAACAAACCATTCATCAATGGAAAGCTTATTTACCGTATTATTCAGCTTTGAAAATTTGACACTTAAGACTCGTTTTGTGGTCCAGGGTCACATTTGTGGAATGGCAAATTAAGACTTACAACCTTTTTAAGACCCCTGATTAAGGATGTGCAATTAATCAACTTTCAGCTTCCAATGATTATAAAAAAACACAACAATCGAAATAAAATGATTTTTATGCCACATTCTAAACGCACAGTGCACTTGTGGTCCTCATTAAAAGCCCAAACTTAATGTTTAAATCAGCCAAGTCATGTAACACGACTGTCGTAAAACGCAGACTACTGTGGGACATGCTCGATATTAAAAAGAGCAGCGTTAAGCTCCGAAAGAGAGCTCAAGCTGTTCTCCAGGTGGCTTTCTGTGTGTGTGCTCTGAGAATGCAGGCCCTTGTTCAAGAAAGAGCAACCCAACAGAAGACCTCAAACACAAAACCAGAAGATCAGGGTGCATGCTGACCTGTCTGAGGGGCATGGTGGGGACCCATGGCATGGTGCATGGGGGGATATCCAGGGCCTGGGTGCCCGGGATGTCCTGGGTGTCCAGGGTGCATGCCTGGAGGGGGGCCGTGCGGAGATGGTCCGTGATGTCCTCCTGCATTCTGCTGCGCAGCTGCCTGCTGCTCAATCTGCTGACGAGCCTTCATCTCAGCGTACTTCAACTGCTCCATGTGGAATGCCTGTCGCTCTGTCAAAAGCTGCTGCCTCTGGAGCTCCAGCTTTAAAGAGAAAAACTCCTGTTAAATCAACTCATAGTCTGATGGGAAATAAGGGAAAGTTTAAATTGATTACTAAGAGGGCTGTTCACATGTCGTGCCTAAAAACGTGTGGAAAACGCTAGGCGCACCGCTTTCTGCTTTTTTCCCCCAAAGCGTTCGGGCGCTTGCGCTCCAGAGGCGTCTGCCATTGCTAAGCAACCATGACCTGTGCTCTCCATGAAGATGCGGAAGTTTCAGCAAAGGATAAATGGATTTGCAGCACTAAAAAAAAAATCGCTTGCAGTAGCTCTGCTACTAAATTTATATAAAAATGGCTATCCCTGTACAGCTATGATCAGCTGTTCCTTCATCTTGTCTGAGCTTTCAATGTTGTTACAGGAAAGGATGAAGCTGATTGGTTGGTTCTTGTCACATTACCCGCTGTGCGCTTGCCGCATTCTGAAAAGTTGAAATGTTTTTCATCTCGATGCTGCGCGAACGCACCTGGAAAAAAATTAGCACGTCGCGACCGCGTCGCTTCTATTATGTGCGTGCCTGCTGCGCGTCCACATCTGAAATAACGAACTTGAGCGCACAAAAGACGTGATATGTGAACTAAGGCTACACTCACACAGCACACAATTTTGATTTGCTTTTCAAATCAAATCATTAGAACGCAATGCCTGCACTTAATTTGCAAGCACTCTAATCGGATCTATTCATTTGGGCAGTGCAGTCAACATCTGGTCTATTTACAGCAGGTTGTTTGATATAAATTTGAGAAAAATGCCAAATAATAGTAGGAAGCTATCAGTGTAGAAATAGAAGAATGAAAACTGGAAATTTGCCAACTGGTTATGTCCAACATGGCATCTCATTGTGATGCTAATCACGAGGTGCGTAAAAAAAAGCTACAAAAAAATAAATAAATTACTGTTCAGAAAAAAATCCACTTAAATTACTGAATTTAGTTCATAAAAAAAAAAAAGTAACTTCAAACCATTTGAATGTTGTTCTGTCCACAAAAATAAATAAATAAAATAAAAAATGAATACAAAATTATTAATTTCTTTATTATTTAATAATAAAAATAGCAATAATGATAAATTATATATGTAATAATGATAAATTATATATGTAATTGTGTGGACTGGTTACACATGCCATCTTTATGCTGCAGCTTCGGAAGTTTAAGCAAAGGCCCACCAAACGTACGAGTCACAAAAATAACATGAACCCGATTCATGCTACTAAAATGGCACAAAAATGTTTCAGTGAGCAGAAAACACTACTGCAGTAACAAACCTTTTTTGTGTTTTTTAAAGAAAGTGTGTGTTGCTAACCTGTGCAGAAAGCGCCAACGTGCTTAACTAAAATCAAAGTTGCATTTAGTGAATTTATGAACACTAGAAGGAAATAAAGTACCGCTGGGCTATATAAAGACATCCTTCATGCACTATTTACAGCAGCTAAATTGGGTTACTATCTTCAGCTACATTTACTAAAACATTCTGCAGAGCCAGCTACATTTGCTAAAGCATTCTGCAGAGCCTTCCAAGTCTCTTGTGGACAGCGCCTCTGATGTGCAGACATAAGACTACATGATACAAAAGAACAAGGCACAGCACAATTCAGAGGATGAGTGAACTCTATAAGCACCAACACAGAAAGGAGTTTAAATTTCCACTGACAAACTTTAAAGTAAATCAGTAGTTGTTATTATAAAATAATAGTGTAAAAGCAGGTGTAAATCACAAATAAGAAGTAGCTTCTGTAACACTGCTTTACACGGAGCGAAAAAACACAAATCCATTGACTGTATTAAGCAAAGCAAATACTTTTTTTTTTTAAATAGATATTTATTATTGATATATTATTATCATTATTGATATTATAAAAGATAATTTTATAATACAATATAATTTACTACAGTGATTTTTTTTCAGGTGAATTTGGGATTAACTGTCACAAAAATGTCACAATGCAAAAAAAATAAAATAAATACAAATTGTTAAAAAAATAAAAACAATTTCATGATACAAAAGAACAAGGCACAGCACAATTCAGAGGATGAGTGAACTCTATAAGCACCAACACAGAAAGGAGTTTAAATTTCCACTGACAAACTTTAAAGTAAATCAGTAGTTGTTATTATAAAATAATAGTGTAAAAGCAGGTGTAAATCACAACCTCACATTACAAATAAGAAGTAGCTTCTGTAACACTGCTTTACACGGAGCGAAAAAACACAAATCCATTGACTGTATTAAGCAAAGCAAATACTTTTTTTTTTTAAATAGATATTTATTATTGATATATTATTATCATTATTGATATTATAAAAGATAATTTTATAATACAATATAATTTACTACAGTGATTTTTTTTCAGGTGAATTTGGGATTAACTGTCACAAAAATGTCACAATGCAAAAAAAATAAAATAAATACAAATTGTTAAAAAAATAAAAACAATTTATATATCATATAAAGTATAAAATATATTGTTTCTGGGTGACATGTTCTTGACAGCCAGATTCACCAAAGACAATCAGCAATACTTACGGCTTCCTTCTCACGGTCCATGATGGTCTCCAGCTCTTCAAAGTGTCTGAGTTTGAGCTCCAGCTTCTTCATCTGAGTCTCTACCAGCAGAGCCACAAGAGATTTGATCTTCCTCTCTTCCACTGCAGCCAGGTGCTGAGACACAGAAAAACAACAGCGCATGAAATCAAGTTAGCCGCCAAGGTGATAAAAAGACTTTGACTGGAGACAGCTGCACAAAGCACACAGTTTCTGTTAGTGCCAATAAAGGAAGTTAAAGAATTGGTAAACATTAAACCCAGTCCCTGCTGCAGCCTGAGCCGTATCTGGGATGCATTACCTTTGCCTTAGTGGCAGCAGAGGCCAGGGCAGCAGCGGCGGCAGTGGCGATGTTGCCCTCTCTGATATCCAACTCAAGCTTTTTCTTTCCTTCTTCCTTCTCTTCCTCGCCCTCCTTCCCTTCCTCTGTGGTCTCCATGTCCTCATCTTTGTCTTTCTCTGGAACAAGGTAACAAAAATGTACAGACTCAGTCAATTTAGAGCATAATTAAATATATATAAACACTTTATATAGAACATAGGGCTGTGCAATTAATCGCATGTGATTGTCATGTGCATCTCGTCAGTAAAGCCGGTTACGTGGTAGTAAATCGCCATCACCTGCTTTCAGATGGAGAGGCCTTTATTACACAGAGCCATAGTTCACTGACAAGCTAGGCAATATCGCATTCAAAATCAAATGCGATTCATCTGTGATTATGAACGCAATATTGCCTAATTTGTCAGTGAACTACGGCTCTGTGTAGTAAATGCCGCTCCATCTAAAAGCAGGTGATGGCGATTTACTACCAATCACGGAACCGGCTTTACTGATGAGATGCGCATGACAATCGCATGCAATTAATTGCACAGACCTAATAGAACATGTATTTTCATGGTATTTGCAGGCAGGAGAACAAAAATAAAAATCATTACTTTGTTTATAGATTTTCTGCAAAACAGGGTCTAAAGGCATTTATTAAGGGTGGGAAAGAAAAAAAATTCACATGTTTTTGCATGGACTCACATGGACATTTACAAAGTTTTAAATTTCTCGGTGGACAGTACACTCGAGTTCACATTTCAAAGGTCAACATGCACTTACAGTGAAATGTAGCAGTTCTTGTTTGTTTTAATAGCACATCGTATCTAAATCTAGCAGCTTGTTTTATTTTATGTATTTGATTTTGCTGAAAAGATAATATGCAAAGCATTTATTACCACTATTTATTTTATTTACCAGTTTTATCTAAGTTTTTATTTTTGTATTAAAAGGACAGTTCACCAAAAAAATTTAAAATTCTGTCATCATTTACTCACCCTCAAGTTCCAAAAAATGTTTCTCCCTTCTGAACACAAAAGATGACATTTTGAACAATGTGGGTAACCAAACAGTTGTCCCTAATGGCATCTATAGTATTTTCCCCCCATACTACCTACATTCTTCAAAATATCTTATGTTGTGTTCAGCAGAAGAAACAAACTCATACAGATTTGAAAAAGTAAATGGCAGAATTTTAATTTATGGGTGAACAAAATCCTTCGAAATGGTCCCTTTTGGGGAAAAAAAACACCTTTGATAGCATGCAAAGCCAAGTTCAACATGTTGAAAGGAGAAAGGGGTGTAGCAACTGGACTCAAACATGCATCACAGACAAGCATCATGTCTCAATTTAACAGGGATAAAGCAGATTTCAGCTTGGGTCAGACTTTAGGCAAGCCCATGACCATTTGTTGCAACTGAGTCTGTACCTGCTAGATGGAAAACCCGCCCATCAGAGCTGATGTTGAGTTTCATAATTTCACCATAATCAAAATTACCGGTTTTCTCTGGTTCCTCAGGAGCTGTGCCAGCAATGCCACTGCTCTCCAGGCCGAACGCAGGGTCTACTTTTCCTGTGCTGCGCGCAGCCTCCTGTACCTTCTTCACATGAGCCTCCACCAGCTCCATGGGAACCTCCTCACGCACACGCGAGAACTCCTCTAAAAAAAAAAAATGGACAGAAATACCATCTTAAAATCAGGGTCTCTGCAGGATTTTTAAGCGCAAATTTAAGACTTTAAGACCTTTTTTTAAGAACTGCACAAATAAAATTAATACCATATGACCGGGGTAGGGCAATGTCTATAGTACCATATTAAACTGTAAAATGACTTTAAAAAGCATAATTTACAGTTCATCTACAAGTTTTCACAAAAACAATTTTATAAAATGATAAACTACATTTCAGCCTTTAAACCATTTTTAAGAAAATGGAGTCGAAAGTATTAATCATTATATTAATTTAAACAATTATTATCAGTAAATTATTATATAAATTAAATAAATTAGGGGTTTGCGATAGACAAAAAAATCTCAAGATTTTCTGGGATTTTATCGATAACGATAATTAGACGATATTTTGCTAAGTGTGTTATTGTGCTGATATCTTAAGGACTACAGTGGACAGCTGACTCCTGAATTTTTTTTTTTTTTTATATTCTGTGTGGTCAGTTCACAGCAGTGATAGAAATTAATCTTTTTCAATAGGTTTTATGGGCATTTTTATCTTTAATCCATTTTTCTCTAAAAGTGTGCAACAACTTTTGAGTCAAATTCTTGCATTTGGGCTGTCACCAAGCAAATTAAATCAGTCTCAACAAAATTTATCTTTTAGAGGAAACATAGAAGCTGCATTAGAATTTGCATTTAGATGCATTTACACACTGTTTAATGCAGCTCAGAGGGACATGGAATACTTTAACCCGCAGTTACAAATGCATGAATAATGTTTTGACATTTTAAAGGGGTCATATGATGTTGGTAAAAAGAACATTATTTTGTGTATTTGGTGTAAAGAAATGTGTTTATGCGGTTTAAGGTTCAAAAAACACATTATTTTCCACATACTGTACATTATTGTTTCTCCTCTATGCCCGCCTTTCTGAAACGCGTCGATTTTTACCAAGCTCATCAGTCTGAAAAGCAAGGTGTGCTGTGATTGACCAGCTATCCGGTGTGCTGTGATTGGCCAGCTATCCAGGCCGAATACCTCAAGCGTGTGATGGAAATGTTACTCCCCTTACCATATTGTGATGATGCCCTGTCAGGCTGGAGCGATGATTCAAAAGCATGAAAACCCATTATAAACGAGGCATTCGTTGCATCCAGTGGGGACATAATTACTGATTATAATGACTTATACTGTCTTTTTACACATTGCATCGCGCCTCGTAAACATAAAACCATGTCTGCATTTGTGATCGGAGAAATGACAAACAACAAGCCCTACTCTACACTGCCCAAAAAACTCGCTTTAAATATAAAAAATATAAAATATAAAAAAAACGTACTTGCAGTCCATGAGTCAGAACAGCCTGCATTGTAGTCTACTCTACCAGGATCAGGAAACAGTCCTCCATAAAATGTGCTGCACACATCTGAATATTTGGGTTGAAGTGTTCTGGAACAGTGTTGTAAATACAACTTAACCACTGATTTCTAGTCATGTCCATTTTTGGAAGACCAAACAAAGGAGTTTCGCTTTCACAACGAAACACAGCGTCACCGGGCTGGACTCCACTTCGTCCACGGTGAAATCCGATCCAGCGATCCTGAGCACAAAGCTGTTGGAATTTCCTCAGCAACCAGCAAGGATCAGCTCCAGGCATGACAAAGCTCATTCTCTGCCAGCAGGTGGCGCGTTTGGTAGAAATATCACTGTTTCCCCAGTAACGCCAGAACACAAAGCAATGCAGCATGGAATTTGAACATGCAGCGCTCATGTTTATTTAATGAAATCGTAGCCTTTTTTTGAAGTTAAATCGTCACATTCAGCCATATCGCAACTCTGGTATTTCTATTCCCATATTTAAGACCTCTTGAAATCATAATTAAGACTTTATTGTACAATTTAAGACTTTAAGACTCCGCAGAAACCCTGTAAAATACTCAAAATGTTGTTCGTTATGAGCACCATAACCACCCTATTTTGCAATGCAGAAGCTATTTTCTCTGAATGTGTGAGACTTCCAATTCATTAGATACTGTAGAATAACTAGAAGAATAACTGGTATTGTGCTACAAACCAGTGTGTTTATGATTACAATAAATTAAAGTTATAAAATAACTAGGTGCTGTCGATTACACGGGTTAATTTGGTGCAAATAATTATGGAAAAAGAAAATAAAATTTTTCCCAAATATCTGCACTATTGCAAATATGAAATAGATTTTACACAACAGTTCAGTAAACAAATTAACATTGTGTTACATTTAGAATCCATTCATTCATAGCATTATATATGCAATTAATTCATGCCACCTAAACCTAAATGCCACTTCAGAAGCAGCTTCGGAAAAGATTGTTAAGGTCACACTTTAGCTTTAAAAGTTTGTGTAATAAATTGTTAATCAAAACATGTCTAAAACTACTTTTTTATCATGTCTATTAATTGCTTTTCTCATTTAAAACAATGATGGCTTAATCTTTTGGGGGTAATTTCTTAATTTTATTCAAAATTTGATTTGCCATTAATGACACCGAAAGCCTAGCACATTAAAGTTACAAATGGTCACACTCACTCATATATCTAAAATAAGGTTGATACATCAAAACTTGACAACATACCCAAAGCTGCTTTGGCAGCAGCCGCCGCCACACGCGGGTCGACCACAGAGGCAAGAAATGCAACAGTGCTCATGACAGGATTTCCTGATTGGCTGAAGGGGATCGGCTGGTAAGCCAGAGGGCCTAGCGAGGCTTCGGAGCTCTCCAGGGATTGATCCTCTATGGGCAGCCGCCGGAAGTGCAAGATGCACTCATCTTGTGTACGGCTGCCCACGTGCTCTGAAACCTTATTCCAGTCATCCTTATACATCTCCAGAGCCTGGAATTATTAGTTTAAATAATATTATTAAAAACAAAACAGTGTGAAAAGAGAATCGTATGGTGCAGAAGAGTTTATGATGCCCACTGATTTATTTTAATGATTCAGATCTCACCTCCAACAGAAGCAACGTTTCTTGCTCAGTCCATTCTCTCCCAGCAGCAGCCCCTTTGCCCTGTAAGGCAAATTATCACATCAAGAAACTATGAAAGATAAAAGAAAAGAAAAAGCAGTGACAAATTCCAAGTATTAGGCCTAGTATTAGATGACTTGCCTTGGGATTCTTCTTTGAGTAAATATCTGTACGGAGGCCAAAGTTCTGCAGGTCAGTTGGCTTGTCTTTGCCCTTTTCTGGGAAGTTCAGCATCTGCTGAGCAGGGGGAACCTGGAATGAAAAGCAGAGACTTTATTGCAACTTTTTCCACAAGAAAACTTGTGCCTTCTGTCAATTAAAAAAAAAGAGTCACCCCAGTCTCACCTGTGGAGGGCGGTGTTGCAGTGGCACTAACCCAGAGGGAGTATCAGTCAGAACGTTGAAATGTGGCGTTGGTGGAGGGCCCATGGGGAGGGGTCTGCTCTCAGCGTCAACCTGGTAGTTCACCAGCCCCCACTGCTCCAAAAAGGCATGCACTCTGGGGGAAAAAAGACAACACTGAAGGTAAATATACAATAACAACTAAAATAAATAATCCTGTTTAACTTTATGCAAGGCTCTCTGCATAATGTTCTAATGAATTAGGAAGGTAAATGAAAATTCTGACCTCATGACTGCACACACATCTCCAGTGAGGTTTCTCCTGCAGGAGGTGGAGGTCAAGTACTCCTGAGGATTCAGCCGGTATGTGTCAATCATGAAGTTACGATAAGCCAGATAGCTAAGAAAGAGGTAATAAAACAGAGTATGGAAGCTGGGTCAGAAAAACAAACATGCATTGTAAAAGAACCACAAAGAAACATGGGAGCATAATGATGTAAAATCGAAGATATTTTAATGTGAATTTTAAAGCGGATAAGCCAGATAGCTAAGAAAGAGGTAATAAAACAGAGTATGGAAGCTGGGTCAGAAAACAAACATGCATTGTAAAAGAACCACAAAGAAACATGGGAGCATAATGATGTAAAATCGAAGATATTTTAATGTGAATTTTAAAGCACAAACTTACATCTCTGGAGTCTTCGTAGCCTTTTTTTGAAGTTAAATCGTCACATTCAGCCATATCGCAACTCTGGTATTTCTATTCCCATATTTAAGACCTCTTGAAATCATAATTAAGACTTTATTGTACAATTTAAGACTTTAAGACTCCGCGGAAACCCTGTAAAATACTCAAAATGTTGTTCGTTATGAGCACCATAACCACCCTATTTTGCAATGCAGAAGCTATTTTCTCTGAATGTGTGAGACTTCCAATTCATTAGATACTGTAGAATAACTAGAAGAATAACTGGTATTGTGCTACAAACCAGTGTGTTTATGATTACAATAAATTAAAGTTATAAAATAACTAGGTGCTGTCGATTACACGGGTTAATTTGGTGCAAATAATTATGGAAAAAGAAAATAAAATTTTTCCCAAATATCTGCACTATTGCAAATATGAAATAGATTTTACACAACAGTTCAGTAAACAAATTAACATTGTGTTACATTTAGAATCCATTCATTCATAGCATTATATATGCAATTAATTCATGCCACCTAAACCTAAATGCCACTTCAGAAGCAGCTTCGGAAAAGATTGTTAAGGTCACACTTTAGCTTTAAAAGTTTGTGTAATAAATTGTTAATCAAAACATGTCTAAAACTACTTTTTTATCATGTCTATTAATTGCTTTTCTCATTTAAAACAATGATGGCTTAATCTTTTGGGGGTAATTTCTTAATTTTATTCAAAATTTGATTTGCCATTAATGACACCGAAAGCCTAGCACATTAAAGTTACAAATGGTCACACTCACTCATATATCTAAAATAAGGTTGATACATCAAAACTTGACAACATACCCAAAGCTGCTTTGGCAGCAGCCGCCGCCACACGCGGGTCGACCACAGAGGCAAGAAATGCAACAGTGCTCATGACAGGATTTCCTGATTGGCTGAAGGGGATCGGCTGGTAAGCCAGAGGGCCTAGCGAGGCTTCGGAGCTCTCCAGGTATTGATCCTCTATGGGCAGCCGCAGGAAGTGCAAGATGCACTCATCTTGTGTACGGCTGCCCACGTGCTCTGAAACCTTATTCCAGTCATCCTTATACATCTCCAGAGCCTGGAATTATTAGTTTAAATAATATTATTAAAAACAAAACAGTGTGAAAAGAGAATCGTATGGTGCAGAAGAGTTTATGATGCCCACTGATTTATTTTAATGATTCAGATCTCACCTCCAACAGAAGCAACGTTTCTTGCTCAGTCCATTCTCTCCCAGCAGCAGCCCCTTTGCCCTGTAAGGCAAATTATCACATCAAGAAACTATGAAAGATAAAAGAAAAGAAAAAGCAGTGACAAATTCCAAGTATTAGGCCTAGTATTAGATGACTTGCCTTGGGATTCTTCTTTGAGTAAATATCTGTACGGAGGCCAAAGTTCTGCAGGTCAGTTGGCTTGTCTTTGCCCTTTTCTGGGAAGTTCAGCATCTGCTGAGCAGGGGGAACCTGGAATGAAAAGCAGAGACTTTATTGCAACTTTTTCCACAAGAAAACTTGTGCCTTCTGTCAATTAAAAAAAAAGAGTCACCCCAGTCTCACCTGTGGAGGGCGGTGTTGCAGTGGCACTAACCCAGAGGGAGTATCAGTCAGAACGTTGAAATGTGGCGTTGGTGGAGGGCCCATGGGGAGGGGTCTGCTCTCAGCGTCAACCTGGTAGTTCACCAGCCCCCACTGCTCCAAAAAGGCATGCACTCTGGGGGAAAAAAGACAACACTGAAGGTAAATATACAATAACAACTAAAATAAATAATCCTGTTTAACTTTATGCAAGGCTCTCTGCATAATGTTCTAATGAATTAGGAAGGTAAATGAAAATTCTGACCTCATGACTGCACACACATCTCCAGTGAGGTTTCTCCTGCAGGAGGTGGAGGTCAAGTACTCCTGAGGATTCAGCCGGTATGTGTCAATCATGAAGTTACGATAAGCCAGATAGCTAAGAAAGAGGTAATAAAACAGAGTATGGAAGCTGGGTCAGAAAACAAACATGCATTGTAAAAGAACCACAAAGAAACATGGGAGCATAATGATGTAAAATCGAAGATATTTTAATGTGAATTTTAAAGCGCAAACTTACATCTCTGGAGTCTTAGATTTGTTTTTGCCATTGAAGAACTCTGGCAGGGCACGCCTCTCAATTTCATGTATACTGGGGAAAAAAATAAATTACATTCACAACTAAGAAAAAAAAGTTTAATGGGCTTTTTCGGGATTGAACTGAGAAAAAAAAAAAGAGGCAAATATTATACATGATATTTTTGGTTAAGCTGGAACATAATTTTTATTTTTTTTAAAAGGTATTTTTACTTTTAAAGGGGTCATATGATGCGATGTGTAAAACGGCTCGTTCTAACACGGCCCCACATATCTAGGTCACTATGTGGAAATATTAGCATAATGCCACCCAAATGTGCACACAAAGAAAGAAGGCGTGGTTTCAGGAACAGCAGTCGTGTTGATGCAGCCATGTCAGGGAGACACTGTTTCAGTGCGAAAGCAAAAGCACTTTATTTGGCCTTCCGGAAGTAGATGCAATTAGGAATCATTAGTTAAGATTTATTTACAACAGAACAGCACAACCCAGATGTTCGAATTTGTGCAACGCATTTTTTTAACCTAGAAGAGTACAAAGCTGGCTGTGAACAAAAGGCAATTAACCCAAGCAAACAAAAATATTTCTTAATCAGTGGAAACCGATACAGTGTTTTCTATCGGAATAAGCGCTTGCGTTCAGTCAATAAAAATCGAATAGTTCTTAATTTGTTTGAGAACTGAGAACGACCATACCATATAGTCGTGGCCACATGACCACCTCCGGGAGTGCATTATTTCTCTAATAATTTTAACGGCCTGGAGTCCCAACCACACATCAAGACATTGTTCAGATAATTTGTTTCAAGACATTTGACATGTTTCCGTCCTGAAATCTCGTGTGGGTTGAACTAATTTTTTTTATGCACTTCATCCCAAACCTTCCGTTGCAAATTCCAAAACGTCATTTTAGAGCTGATAACAGAGGCTTGAGCCATTGATATGCAGGCTAACGCAGTTATTAATGCAGTCTAACGCAGTTATTAGAGAGAGAGCGAGCAAAAGAGAGAGAGATTAAGTGCGTGTGAATATTTGCGTCTGTGCGTCTCAGTATTCAGCAGCAGCGTCAACTAACAGCGAATCTTTGAACAGCTTCAAGAACCTCGTTACTGAGAAATGTCTTGTAGCTTTTCAGCTGCAAAACTCTTTTATTGATAAATTCGTGGGACAGCCGCAGCGCTGATGACAAGTTTCTGTCCGCGTCTCCGCGCGAGTACGTGTCTATGTGTGTGTGTGTGTGTGTGTGAGAGAGAGAGAACGGGAGAAAGAAAGCGTGATTTCCGTACATAAAAAAGGTTTAAGACATGGAAATAGGTTGTCAATTTTACCCTATTGTTTGTTATATTTATTTGCTCAATGTCTTCTGGGGTTTTGGTTCTTTTACTGCTGTAGATATCCCATAGTATACAAAAATATGATAACATCTCTTCATTGTGTTTGGGCCCCCCTGGACGAGCAAGCATAGGCACGTGCCTAGAATGTCTATGCATAAATCCGGCCCTGTACACGCATGTAAATAAAGCGCATATATTGTATTAGAACGGCATCTCACATAATTATTTAATTAAATCGTAGCATTTGTGAATTTACAATTATGCTTAATTATGGTCTAATATATCATGCAGCCTTGGAAAACAGACTAATAATGTGTTTTATACATTCTTGTCTGTGAAATGCGCCACTTCCGGTATTTTGCCGGTTAGTCGACACAAGCAAGTCGAGGATTTTCAAAAATCGACAAATCACGACTGCCCTAGTTGAGAACCACAGGTCTATAACATTATTTCTCTCCAAGCAAGCTCTCAGGACATTGCTACAGCACCTGGTGGAAGGGATTTGATACCTGTTGTAGTCGAACCAGGCAGCATAGCTGGGTATAATGATGTGATGGGTTTGTTCAGTCACGTTGTCCTCAGAGTCGATCAGACGATTGACCTCTGTTTTGCCCTGTTCATCCTCTTCCTGTCAATTACGATTAGTAAACAAAAAAGCACGTGGGCAATCTTTCAGAACAATTTGATTCAGAATAAATAGCTTGGGCATTAAAGTCATATATTGATAGACTACTTAAAGAATGTATGGGTAAAGTGCAAGAGCTGTTATCAACAAAATGCTGTGCATCTGTTATAATAATGGAGAGAAAATTTCCAAAAGCATAACTGGATTACAGTATGAAGATACACTACCTTGCCTCCAGATGCTAGTGAATCATCTTCCTGGTCATCTAAGAGGGCAAACAAAATTAATGTGATCATTTACATTTCCTTTGAGAAGATATCATATTCATACCCAAAACAAATATGAAGCAAAATACTCACCCAAATCAGCAACCGTTCCGCCTTTCACTGGTGTGTTCTCACTGTCCTTTTTCTGATTGACTGCAAGCAGAAAGTCAGAGGACATTAAGCAAAGCAGCTGAAGACGATGCATCAGAGAGACAATTCAATAACAATAACATTTAAAAGCTTTCAGTGTAAAGTGGAACAACGAAAGTAGGGTGCAGCATGTAATAGCAGAATGTCTATTTTAGCCATGCACTGAATTTCCATGCATCCAGAGGGGCTTTTTAAAAAATGGTGCTATGAACTATGAAATGAAAAGCTCAGTAAAGACAGCTCAGCCATCTAAGTCATGCAAGTGGTTGTCAACCAGACGTTTTTATCCAAAGTCACTTACTAAGCATACTACTGATAACAGAAAAAGGCTACTTTATGTAACCCAGGGTTACGATCAAGTGTACAATGGCAGTAGCTCTCTGATTAACCCTTGCACTGTTCAAATAAGGGACTATTAATCAAGAAGACTGACAATTTTTTGGCAATGTAACTTCCTCCATTCCTGGCACAGGGGAGGGATCTTCCAGGTCCTTTGTGAGGTCTTCATCCTGCTCGTCATCATTTTGATGTCCACGGCGCCTCCCCTGTGATCCAGGATTCCTGTTTGAGGTAAATGAATGAATGAGACTGTTACATTTAAAATGATCATGACTAATTACACTTTATACAAGAAATGTTTATTGTATGAAAAGCAGCAAATCAGCATATTAGAATGATTTCTGAAGGATCACGTGACACTGAAGACTGGAGTAATCATTTTATCACAAAAAAATAAATTACATTTTAAAACACATTGAAATAGAATACAATTATTTTAAATTGTAATTGTGTGTGTGTGTGTGTGTGTGAGAGAGAGAGAACGGGAGAAAGAAAGCGTGATTTCCGTACATAAAAAAGGTTTAAGACATGGAAATAGGTTGTCAATTTTACCCTATTGTTTGTTATATTTATTTGCTCAATGTCTTCTGGGGTTTTGGTTCTTTTACTGCTGTAGATATCCCATAGTATAACAAAAATATTATACATCTCTTCATTGTGTTTGGGCCCCCCTGGACGAGCAAGCATAGGCACGTGCCTAGAATGTCTATGCATAAATCCGGCCCTGTACACGCATGTAAATAAAGCGCATATATTGTATTAGAACGGCATCTCACATAATTATTTAATTAAATCGTAGCATTTGTGAATTTACAATTATGCTTAATTATGGTCTAATATATCATGCAGCCTTGGAAAACAGACTAATAATGTGTTTTATACATTCTTGTCTGTGAAATGCGCCACTTCCGGTATTTTGCCGGTTAGTCGACACAAGCAAGTCGAGGATTTTCAAAAATCGACAAATCACGACTGCCCTAGTTGAGAACCACAGGTCTATAACATTATTTCTCTCCAAGCAAGCTCTCAGGACATTGCTACAGCACCTGGTGGAAGGGATTTGATACCTGTTGTAGTCGAACCAGGCAGCATAGCTGGGTATAATGATGTGATGGGTTTGTTCAGTCACGTTGTCCTCAGAGTCGATCAGACGATTGACCTCTGTTTTGCCCTGTTCATCCTCTTCCTGTCAATTACGATTAGTAAACAAAAAAAGCACGTGGGCAATCTTTCAGAACAATTTGATTCAGAATAAATAGCTTGGGCATTAAAGTCATACATTGATAGACTACTTAAAGAATGTATGGGTAAAGTGCAAGAGCTGTTATCAACAAAATGCTGTGCATCTGTTATAATAATGGAGAGAAAATTTCCAAAAGCATAACTGGATTACAGTATGAAGATACACTACCTTGCCTCCAGATGCTAGTGAATCATCTTCCTGGTCATCTAAGAGGGCAAACAAAATTAATGTGATCATTTACATTTCCTTTGAGAAGATATCATATTCATACCCAAAACAAATATGAAGCAAAATACTCACCCAAATCAGCAACCGTTCCGCCTTTCACTGGTGTGTTCTCACTGTCCTTTTTCTGATTGACTGCAAGCAGAAAGTCAGAGGACATTAAGCAAAGCAGCTGAAGACGATGCATCAGAGAGACAATTCAATAACAATAACATTTAAAAGCTTTCAGTGTAAAGTGGAACAACGAAAGTAGGGTGCAGCATGTAATAGCAGAATGTCTATTTTAGCCATGCACTGAATTTCCATGCATCCAGAGGGGCTTTTTAAAAAATGGTGCTATGAACTATGAAATGAAAAGCTCAGTAAAGACAGCTCAGCCATCTAAGTCATGCAAGTGGTTGTCAACCAGACGTTTTTATCCAAAGTCACTTACTAAGCATACTACTGATAACAGAAAAAGGCTACTTTATGTAACCCAGGGTTACGATCAAGTGTACAATGGCAGTAGCTCTCTGATTAACCCTTGCACTGTTCAAATAAGGGACTATTAATCAAGAAGACTGACAATTTTTTGGCAATGTAACTTCCTCCATTCCTGGCACAGGGGAGGGATCTTCCAGGTCCTTTGTGAGGTCTTCATCCTGCTCGTCATCATTTTGATGTCCACGGCGCCTCCCCTGTGATCCAGGATTCCTGTTTGAGGTAAATGAATGAATGAGACTGTTACATTTAAAATGATCATGACTAATTACACTTTATACAAGAAATGTTTATTGTATGAAAAGCAGCAAATCAGCATATTAGAATGATTTCTGAAGGATCACGTGACACTGAAGACTGGAGTAATCATTTTATCACAAAAAAATAAATTACATTTTAAAACACATTGAAATAGAATACAATTATTTTAAATTGTAATAATATTCCTGTCTTTACTGTATTTTTAGCAAATAAAAGCAGCCTTGGCGAGCATAAGAGACTTCTTTCAAAAGACTTAAAAAAATAAAAATAAATAAAATCTTACAGACTCCAAACATTTGAACTAGGGATGGGAAGATTCACTGATTCGCTCGGAGCATTGGCGAAAAAAAGTTAACGATGCGATGCATCGGTTTAAAAAGTGCGCATCGGACACAAGTTGGCATTTGTATCGCGATGCATCGTTTTTAACATATTTGCATAGGTAAAAACTGATTTATTTATATATAATTACTAGAGGATGCCTACACTTTTATTGTTTAGAAAGTGACCAATATTTTATTTGTAGATTGATTTCTCCTCTCGAAACTGTTTCTCAAGCGCATTCGCTCATCACCGCTGCGTGTGAATATGACGTATCACAACAACACTACAGAGACCCGAGGAAAAGTGGGGATTAAAGTCCAAAATCTGACTTGAAATAACCCAACAAATCAATCGGGGCTAAAGCAGTTCCATAAATGACAATGTAAGTTCACACAATCTCACTAATTTGTGGACGCTTAATCTTAAGCAGCCCTTAATGTCGATCATGGATCAAATCGATCCACCATGGCAAACAGTGAATATATTTGTGCTGTTTAATGCATTTGAGACGTTGTGTTTTCCTCAGTGCATAACTAACATGTCACAAGTATATTTTTCCTCTGTAAATGTTACAAAGTCATGCAAATATATCCATTTTGCTTGCTGTCAGGAGTGGGCGAGGCATACGCGAGTGAACGAGCGCTGCGGCGCACATGCACGCTAAACAGACGGATCAAATATGCATTTTGCTAAAATATTCGTTGTTAGACATTAAATGTGCCTTTTGTAGAATTTTAAACCTACATATAGGTGTATTCTTATGATAGCAGTAACTGTAAAGGGACTATTGTAATGGGTAAATTAAATGTAAGCTAATACAGTCCTAATTACTAAGCTTACTAATTAATTACAACTTAATGTGTGTTTCTTATTGCAGTTAAAATGTAGTTTTAATTTTGTTATTTTAATGCTTTAAAGAGGAATGTTAAGATTGTAAAGTTCTACTGGTATCTGTTCCAACTATAAAAGGTACAGCTGTCATAAAACCAGAGAAAAAGGCTGCATGGCTATTAAGGCAGTTATGGAGAAGCACATCCCTAATTTGAACTGTAGTGCATATTTTTTATTTATTCATCATGCTCCAACAAGATAGTCACCCTTTCTTGCCCTTTTTGCGGGACTCCACAGGGGTGCTGGGTGGGGATGGAGAGCGTCTCCTCTTCTTGCCGGCAACCAGGGACTTGCGGTCCTTGCACGCTAAACAGACGGATCAAATATGCATTTTGCTAAAATATTCGTTGTTAGACATTAAATGTGCCTTTTGTAGAATTTTAAACCTACATATAGGTGTATTCTTATGATAGCAGTAACTGTAAAGGGACTATTGTAATGGGTAAATAAAATGTAAGCTAATACAGTCCTAATTACTAAGCTTACTAATTAATTACAACTTAATGTGTGTTTCTTATTGCAGTTAAAATGTAGTTTTAATTTTGTTATTTTAATGCTTTAAAGAGGAATGTTAAGATTGTAAAGTTCTACTGGTATCTGTTCCAACTATAAAAGGTACAGCTGTCATAAAACCAGAGAAAAAGGCTGCATGGCTATTAAGGCAGTTATGGAGAAGCACATCCCTAATTTGAACTGTAGTGCATATTTTTTATTTATTCATCATGCTCCAACAAGATAGTCACCCTTTCTTGCCCTTTTTGCGGGACTCCACAGGGGTGCTGGGTGGGGATGGAGAGCGTCTCCTCTTCTTGCCGGCAACCAGGGACTTGCGGTCCTTACGATCAGGTGTACGGGAAGACTGATCAGAACCATGGAGGGGTGAAGGATGAGAGAAAGAGCGAGAGAATGAGAGAATGGAACGGTCTTACACACAAGGGGGAGGGGGGTGCTGAGGGGATATTTGGGTGGGTGGGTGAGGTACGTGAGGGTGAGGTAGCGAGGAAGAGCTTTAGAGGATGATTGACAGACACATAGACAGTGACAGAACAAACCCTGCCAAGACCTCAAAGGGTCTGGCTTAGCAACACAACGGAAATCTGAACATGCACCATATCCATTTCATTAGTGCTCATGTCTTTCGGTCTCTTACCACTTCCTCCCCTGGAAGGATCCGTTGGCGGAAACTCACAGGTTTCTTGCTCTCATCCACTTCGTAATCTTCCTCATTCATCCACTCGTTGAAAGCATCTGTGTCGATGACCCATTTTGCATGCACCTGAGGGGATCATAGAGCGTACTGAGAAAACACTGCCAAATTGAATCTGGCTGCATCACTTACAATATGATTATGCTTCATAATGCAAGGCGTTTGAAATGTGTTTATTTTAAAACTGTGAATTAGGAAACATATCAAAATATTTACAGATCCCCTTACCCTCCATGGTTTCTCAGAACTTGGTGCATCCTCAACATCTCCATCCACATCATTTGTTGATACCCATGTGTCATAACTGAATAGGTAAACAAGCATACATTTATTAAAAGAACTGATAGATAGACGACATTAGGCTTGCTGCGATATTCGGTGTTGACAGTGTTAAGCCGCGACACCGATTACGTCACTTGCCCACCGCGGCACCGACCCCCACAGTCTTTTAGATTTTTTTTATAGTAATAAAAATAATTTAGTTTGGTTAGAGAACAGACACTACAATTAAAAACTGAACGCGGTTGCTTAATGCAGTGTGCCGAACGACAGTCGCATCACAGATTTAATTTATCACGTCAGGAGAGTGAGTCGAGCTGACTGACAAGAGTGAGGTGAGAAAGACAAGACGATGGCGGAAGATGTACCTTTGAAACGAAATGCAAAAGCGCCTGTTTGGCAATATTTTGGATGTTGAAAAGCCTGTTGACTTTTGCCATTTTTTTCTACGGTGATTTTGTAAGGTTTTTTTTTGTTGTTACATTCATTTATTTATTTGGTTCCACAGTGTTTGCTGATTTTTACGTTATTTAAACTGTGTAAGTTATTCATTTTATTTTACATCAAGTTGTATGCCATGCCCCCAAGCTTTCTTATTTGTTTTGCTAGTAAACGTTCTACGTTCCTTATTTATTTGGTTTCACAGTGTTTGCTGATTTTCAGCATTTTTTTTTTATATTTAAATTTTGTGTAAGTTATTTATTTTATATTAGACGTATAGCATGGTATATTTTTTATTTGATTTGTTAATAAATGTTCTATGTTTAATATAACCGAGTTTGTCATTGTACGTGCATTTACAAGCTAGTTAAAAGCGAAGGAAAAGAGGGAAAACTCCAACGAACCCCACCCCCCGGTGATACCGGTGTTGTCATACGTCGATTAACCGGTGGGAAAATTTCCTCACCGTCACAACCCTAGACAACATATAATAAAATATAAGATCGTAGTTAAATGATGTTCAGTTTCTCACACACAAAAAATGATATATTTACACACATATCCTACACATTTTAAATAAATTTAGAATTCATCTTTTTTTTCTCACAAACACACAGTATGTGTGTGTGTGTGTGTGTGTGTGTGTGTGTGTGTGTATGCATGCTACCAACCTGTCAGGATAATTGCCCCAGTGAACCAAAACTTGCTTGTCTTTGCGCATGACGGGACGTAGCCATTCCTCTGAAAGGCAGAAGCAGAATTCAAAAGTTAAGTTCAAGAAAACACTGAATATAATGTCCTATTAAAAGAAATGACTTAAGAAGGAAGATAGGACAATACTTCTGTTCATCCAGAAGTCTTTTGTTATAAAAATCAAACACCAACCTTCTTCCACCTGGGCTGGGGAGGGGTAAATAATATGAGTGGCCTTTGACTTTTCTTCAGTGATGGTTCCCTAGTAGTGTGAGTGAAACAAAAGAGGGAAAACTCCAACGAACCCCACCCCCCGGTGATACCGGTGTTGTCATACGTCGATTAACCGGTGGGAAAATTTCCTCACCGTCACAACCCTAGACAACATATAATAAAATATAAGATCGTAGTTAAATGATGTTCAGTTTCTCACACACAAAAAATGATATATTTACACACATATCCTACACATTTTAAATAAATTTAGAATTCATCTTTTTTTTCTCACAAACACACAGTATGTGTGTGTGTGTGTGTGTGTATGCATGCTACCAACCTGTCAGGATAATTGCCCCAGTGAACCAAAACTTGCTTGTCTTTGCGCATGACGGGACGTAGCCATTCCTCTGAAAGGCAGAAGCAGAATTCAAAAGTTAAGTTCAAGAAAACACTGAATATAATGTCCTATTAAAAGAAATGACTTAAGAAGGAAGATAGGACAATACTTCTGTTCATCCAGAAGTCTTTTGTTATAAAAATCAAACACCAACCTTCTTCCACCTGGGCTGGGGAGGGGTAAATAATATGAGTGGCCTTTGACTTTTCTTCAGTGATGGTTCCCTAGTAGTGTGAGTGAAACAAAAACAGATAAGTGCGCAAAAAAAAAAAAAAAAATTGGAATTTTAGAAACAACCTAATCGATCATAGTTTTTTACCTGATGTCTCTTAATGATGTCTTTCAGCTTATTGGCTTGCTTTTGCTCCATGTCAGACACAATGTACACAATTGGTCGGGTCAAAGAGTTGTTCTGCAGGGAAGAATGAGATATGCATTATCGCATACAGAGAACATTCAATGTAACCACATACGTATTCAGGACTGGGAGAACCAAGTGTGACAAAAATCAACAAAGTACATTTACCATGAGTCCTATTATATACTATATTCAGACTATATATTTAGATCTATATTTAGACTCATGGACCTCATCACAAGGATCGCTACCTGAACAAGAGTCTTCTCAATAGTCATGAACATCTCCACGTTTCTATCCATTCTGGATGGGTTCTGCAGATCAAACCTCCTCCTGAAGAAATTCAGGCACATCAATATCAATTATATTAGTATTATCTTTTAAAAATGAATACTTTGAGGGTGTTGTCATTACAGGTATTATGCCAACTCTCTTTTTCACACTTCCTGAGATTCTACTCACCAGCCTTGCTCACTTTTGAACTTGTATGCAGAACCCAGAATGTGGCAAAGGGCTCCTCCAGGTTTGAAATCCAGAAAGCTCTTTGCCTAGAACGACAGAATGACTTCAAATTTCCCATTGGTTTAAAATTATGTAAAAATGTACACATTTCTGCAGAATTGTACCATAAGAACATGGCACTGTACTTGAAATGTGTCACATGTCAAGTAATACGTTATAGTATAGAGGGGCATGATCAAGAGCACTTTTAAGGGATAATTCACCTGAAAATGACAATTCTGTCAGTTACTCAACCTCATGTCGTTCCAAATCCGTAAGACATCTTCGAAACACAAATGAAAATATTAAACTTCAAAAATTTCACAAAGAGTGTAAAAGGAATCCAAATGAATCGAGTGGTTTAATTCAAGCTTTCTGAAGAGACAATCACTTTATATGATTTTACATGATGATTTAATTTTGGCTTTAATTTACACATAAACATTGATTGACACACATACATAGAGCCCATCAAAATATGATCAACAGCAGCTCAGTGCACAATCAAAAAAACCTTATTGGTTCTTGTGTGTCAAATAAGTATGTTTGAGCTTCTGTTTACTAAATTTGATGTGCTCTATTTATGTGCATTGATCAGTGCTTATATGTGAATAAAAGCCTGATTGAAATCGGTTCATCTTAAAAAGCTATTTTGTCTTCATAGGAGACTTGGATTGAACTACTCAGTTCCTATGGATTACATTTACTTCTGTTTTATGAACTTTGGATGAATGGACTTTCAATGGGGAGATTATCTTCAGTGTTTTGAAGATGAGTCTTATTAGATTTGGAGTGTGAAGAAGAAGGTGTAAACACTGCAAATCGAAACTTACAGGTAGTTTGGTAAGAGCAGGATTGCTGACTCGACGCCCAAATGCATCCTCCTGAAACTGCAGCAACTGCACCACCAGCGCAGCCAAAGTTTTGTTTGTAGGAGAGTCGGTTTGGACATACTGCAGAAAAATGAAAAGCCACAATAAACACCAGAAAATCAATCAGCAACCTCTAAGTATTGGATCTTTATGTTGGTGTTTTCAGAAATAATACAAAAATCCCCTCAAGTTCTCCTTCTAGCAATCATTCATAATCTTATTTGAAGAAATAATTCTGGACGTGTATAATAAATGAACTTCATTCACAAAAGTGCATTACAGGAGACTAAATAATATTGGACAATACAGGGCAAGGGTGAATTATCCCGTGCCAACAAATATCTGCCAAAGAAAAACAATCACACTTGATTTAAACAACATAAACGCATGTGTTTTAGCTTTGGGGCATATATCACACTAAAAAAGTTCCATGGTTTAAATGGACACAGTATCGTTATAAATACTATGGTATTCTTGACATACCTTACAGTACCATATACATACCTTGATGGGTGACAATGATAATTATTCAGTATTACATGCACCTAATATTATACCATCACTGAATCATGGTACCACCAGAACTTCTCATGAATAAACATTAGCGAATCAGTAAACAAACTTCAGCATAAACAACCGAAGCTTTGTGGCGAGAACCACCAAGTGTCCCCTGATGTTTAAAGCAGTGGGCTTTAAAATAAACAAACAAACAAAAAACGGAGCAAGTCCCAAAATGTTAAAATGTTGAAAATAAAGACAGTAATTTGGCATATTTTAAGACAGCCATCACGATGGCAGATCACGCATTTCAGTCACTATCGTTAGCGCGCCAGCTAACTTAACAGCCCACAACACTTCTGCTTAAAACAACACAAGAGCTAAACTCGCTGGCTAAAATGCCAGCCTGGAACCTAAGCAACATCTGCACCACTGCTCTGATTCGACTCTTTCGAATAATCGATTATAACAGCAAATAAACAATAAGCAAGCGGCGTGCCGCTTCTTGTTGCTATTGTGTGATGCGCGCGCGCCCCCATTCAACGGGCGCCTCACGAGCCGCAGACCTTCTTATAATGTTTCCCAGTCCACAGCCGAACTGTCTCCAACTGCGACACCGTTTCCGAGCTCTCCCAAAATTTGGAAGAAGGCCCTACAAAACACTGTACTTGTACTGTGTCACATGTGAAACAATACATTTCAGTATACAGGGGCATGAACGAAAGAGCAGATTTAAGGGATAATTCACCTAAAAATGAAAACTCTGTCAGTTACTCAACCTCACGTCGTTCCACATCCATAAGACTTTCATTCATCTTCGAAACACAAATGAAGATAGTAATGTTCAAACATTTCACAGAGGTTATAAAAGGAATCCATATTATTGGAGTGGTTTAAATCTGTTCACCTTAAAGTGATTTTGTCTTCATATGAACTACTCCGTTCACATGATTATGTTTACTTATGTTTTATGAACTTTGGATGAATGTACTTTCAATGAGGAGACTATCTTCAGTTATGTTTAGAGGAGTAAAAGTGCTATAGAGTGGGAACGTGAAGAACAAGAAGTGTAAACACTGCAAATCCAGACTTACGGGTAGTTTGGTAAGGGCAGGATTGCTGACTCTACGCCCAAACGCATCCTCCTGAAACTGCAGCAACTGCACCACCAGCGCAGCCAAAGTTTTGCATGTAGGAGAGTCGGTTTGGACATACTGCAGAAAAATGAAGAGCCACAATAAATACCAGAAAATCAATTAGAACTCCAAGTATTGGATCTTTATATTGGTGTTTTCAGTAATCACACAAAAACTAAAATACCCTCAAGCTCTGCTTCTAGCAATCATTACAATCTAATCTGAAGAAATAATTCTGAACATGCATAATACATAAAGTTCATTCACAAAAGTGCATTACCGGAGACTATAACTGGACAATACAGAGTAAGGGTGAAATCATCCAGTGCCAACAAACATCTGCCAAAGAAAAACCCTCACACTTGATTTTAAACAACATATACACGTTTTTATCTCTGCCACAAAGCTAAAACACTAACAAAAGTTTCATGGTTTAAATTGACACCGTACCGTTGTAAATACCATGGTATTCTTGACATACCTTTGGCTACCATGTAAACACAATGATGGGTCACAGTGTTAATCATTCAGTACCATATGTATGCACCTAATATTATACCATTACTGAATCATGGTACCACCAGAACATCTAATGAATCAACATTAGAGAATCCGTAAACAAACTTCAGCACAAACAACCGAAGCATTGTGGCGAGAACCACCAAGAGTCATCTGACATTAAATGCAGTGGAGCTTATTAAAAAGAGAGCATAGCCCAAAAATGTTGCAAATGAAGACAGTAATTTGGCATATTTTAAGACAGCCATCACGATGGCAGATCACGCATTTCAGTCACTATCGTTAGCGCGCCAGCTAACTTAACAGCCCACAACACTTCTGCTTAAAACAACACAAGAGCTAAACTCGCTGGCTAAAATGCCAGCCTGGAACCTAAGCAACATCTGCACCACTGCTCTGATTCGACTCTTTCGAATAATCGATTATAACAGCAAATAAACAATAAGCAAGCGGCGTGCCGCTTCTTGTTGCTATTGTGTGATGCGCGCGCGCCCCCATTCAACGGGCGCCTCACGAGCCGCAGACCTTCTTATAATGTTTCCCAGTCCACAGCCGAACTGTCTCCAACTGCGACACCGTTTCCGAGCTCTCCCAAAATTTGGAAGAAGGCCCTCCGTCTTTTTTCCGTCCAATCGAGGAACCGGCGCCCGCCTGGCCGGCCGATGGTCCTCCGGAGCCCGTTCCGCCCGCTGCAGTTGCCGCTGTCGCCATTGTTTCTTTATTAGCGATAGAGGCTAGTCCGTGGAAAATGTTTTAAAACAACACTGCGCCTGCGCAACGGTCAACGCAAGAGTCGTTGGTTGAGGAACTCTCGCGAGATGTCATGTCAGACCAACACATATAAATAAATAAATTATATATATATTTATATATATATAATTTTTTTTTTGTCAGAACATACAGAGGATATATATACAATTATTCACTTAAATAATATATTCAAATTTTCTTCTCAAAATTACATACAATCCATAATATTTAGATTAAAATTTTATTTGGCAGAACTCGTACTCCTAATAATGAATGAATGAATGAATGAATGAGTTTTTATTGCCAGGTATGTTTACACATACGAGGAATTTGTTTTCATGACAGAAGCTCCACAGTGTAACAGAATGACAGTGACAGAACAAAAACACAGATAATAAAAAATAGAAAAATAGAACAAGTAACTAAGGAATAAAAATATACAAATCGAATAGAATAGAATAGAATAGAATTCTGATACATAACATTCTAAATCGATGCAAATTAAATGATAATTTAAACTAAATTTATTGCACATTATGCAAGGGAAGTTAGAGACAGAAATCATTTTGAAATGTCTAATTCAGGGGAAATTGTGCCATCTAGTGATAACAATATGTGGTAACCGTTCCCTTTACTTCCTCTATATGAATATTTCACATCCTATGTTTTATCTATACATCACCACTTCCACCCACAATATTGTTCTATTAATTTCTCTTTTATCTTGATTTATAGCCTACTTCTCTTGTACTCAGATTGGCTAAAGACATACTGTACCATATAATGACCATAACCAACAGAAACCTTGAGATGATTGATGGAGCTCAAGAAAATGATTACAGCAACCCACTGTATGTTAAATGAACTTAAACACACATATACTTTTAAAAATGTCTACAGCTATTAACAAACTACATCCCAAACACTGTTAACTGGACGTTATTAATAACCAGATGTGATCAAGCAAAACAACCTATAATTACTAAACATGTCTATTCAAGCTTGTTCGCTATTCCATCAGACGTGTTATTAGGCATAACATCTATGGCACGCCGTTTTAACATTTAATCTATAAACTGCGCTAGTATCTAATATAACATCTTTTATTCTTTTCCCAAATATGACACAAGGCAACAGGCAGCATTCTGTTATATTTGAACTAATCATATTGACTTGACAGAGCCCTTATATTATGTCATTATTTTATTTCAACTAAATTTCTCCGAATATTTATGCTTTATTACTCAACTTTTAAAAGATTCCCAACATTTCAGGTCATCGTAGATTGTAAAGTCTTGTAGAAGTTAATCAGAGACATCAGGATCGTTTATTCATACAGCATTCAACAGCAACCACAAACACTTCTCACAATATTTCTACTCTCCTAATATGAGCATAATCAAGTCAAACCCATCTATCACAGGCCATGTTATATGAAAGAGACCAATTTTCAGTTATTCATTCAACTCATTTTTGACAAAATGTGTAATTACTTTAATCTGCCTATCAGTGGCGGTTCTAGCTTGTATGGCACCCCTTCTGCCACCCCTAGATAACTTTTGCATATACAGGGTTCCAGACTGCGACCAATTCATTTAAGGGTTTGTAAAATCTTTTGAGAGAAGTTCAAACACTTTTCAATGGCTTTCAAGTATTTGGCACAACAATTTACAACCCTTTAAAGCCCTAAAAATTATCCAATTTAAATTGAATTTTTAATGGCATGACCAAAATGTACTTTGTGGTAAACAAACACTTATTCAAATTCAAAAAAGACACCACATTACCACTGTAACCAGTAGATGGCAGCAGAGAAGCTTTAATTGGCTTATTAGTCATTCATTTCCACTTTTTTACTTTATATTTTAAGATTATAAAATCACTATTAAAATATCAAATTATCAAGAAATCAAATTGTCAAAATTGTGAATTTTTTTGTGTATGCAGAAAGAAAAACGTGCCTTGAAAAACAAACTTTTCTTCAATTTGTGACCTTTTTTAATCACTCAAGTTGTTGGTCAGTTCAGTATAATACTATAGAAGAATAATGATACATTTCATAAGAGTAGTATATATAAATTTTCATATAAAAATTTGATTTAGCATTTTACTGGGTTTTTTTAAAGGCAGTATAAAAACAAAAGAAATACACCAAAGCAAAGACAAACATAGAATGTTTAGTGCAACAATACTTCCCAGCCTTCCAATACATGTTACAAGAAAAGTTTTGTAATAATAACAATAGTAATAATAATAATAATAATACACAGTTGTAATATACAATATATACAGATGTATGTACCAATTACTATTAATGATAATAAAATTATATATATATAAATCATTTGAATATATGTAAAAATTCAAAGTATAGTGAATAAGTATTGTTTTTGTTACCATTCCTGTCACCATTGCCATCCTGAGAATACGGCTTATACTATATAATATATATATATTGTACATATACAATATATATATATATTCTTTTTATTTAGTGCTTCACTGTCAAATGTGTATTACCAAGAAATAAACGTGTTTTATTACATAAATATTATTAGTAATTGAAGTAGTCATTTATATTGTGAGAAAGAATCAAAACCTTTGTAGAATTATGTTCTGCTGAGGAGGGTGTGTGTCTCCCTTTAGGCCTGTGGGAATGTTTATCTACCTCCAGCCAGGTACAACCCTGGAGCACGGGAACCTAAAAGACCAAAAGGTCTTTTGTTTTTACAACCGATTTAAATATTTCTTTGTTCTGGTAGTATTTAAGGGAATGTTGCAAATCAGTCTTGGCGATTCTGTAGCCAGAAGGCCCGTAGTGTGAAGGTGTCCACACAATTCACAATGTATTTTTCTAAAAGTCAGGTATGCATCTTACTCTTAGATTTGTCTTTGAGAATTTGATGTCTTGTATTGATTTTATATCTTTGAATTGTCTATGTAATTGGCATAATACATATTTACCTGACTGATAATAAATTGTTATATTTGATTTATTCTGAACTCTACTGAAATCATTATGACTAGTAAACTGTGAGGCTTTTGTTACCACAAATCTATGGCCAGGATAGGTCAAACTGAAGGCTTGTGAATGATAGGAGCAGTCGGCACATCATCGGAGACCTTGTGGTTTCTGTCTAATCGCCGATGTTAGCAAGTTGTACGGGAAAGGACTAAGTGAATTACACTTAGTCATAAGCAAGCAGTAGGCGGCAGGCAAAATAGGTATTAGTCTACCTACACCCTCTGACTAGCGAGTTTGTGATCGTAAGATCCACGTAAGGCCAGCGTGAGACTTGAAAGAGACATTAGGTCCCCAGTGAACAGATAAGTGGAAGTATAGCGAGTCAGGAATAATCGAATATCTAAATTAATATTTGTGATCATTAAAGTTATGCAACATTTCAAAGCAATATTTCTAATTAAAAACTGATCACGTGAAATTGGAGTCAGATTGAACACGGAGCTAGACAAAATTTAAACCAAGTTCTGAAATTCAGAAGCGCAAGTAAAAGACCGGATATGCATTAAACCTTCGACCAGGCCGCTGGATTCCGCTTTTTGGGCTGGCGGGGGGATCCTTACACACTTATTGCAAAACAATAGTAATTTTGTCAGGGTTCCGGGTAGAGGACGGAGCAAGGACTCAGTACTGCAGAGAAAAAAGGGCTTTTATTGACAATAAAAATAAACAAAACCGCAACAAAAACTACCCCGTGGGGGGAAAACAGACTGGCAAGGCAAGAGCCGGACACGACACATCCAGGGAGAGATGAAGACGAACTGACGCAGGACTGCAAACACAAGGAGAATAAATGGAGCAAATGAGGGTAACGAGGGACCAGATGTGGGGCAAATTAATCAATCATCAGGTAACAAGATGGGAGGGGTCAAGACAATTGACATGAGCACACCGAATCAAAAGACAAAAAAAAAAGCCATGTGCTAGAACAAAAGACACGAATACGCAGCTAATGAGAAAACTCATAAGCCGTGTGTTCACACAAGACAACAAGAAAAGCACGCGGCTGAACACAAACCGCGTGCTACACAACACGTGGACAGAAGAGCGCACGGCCCCCCTCAAAAGGGATGCCACCTGGCGTCCCTAACGAGGCACAACAAAACAAGACAGGAACATGACAACACAAGACAGCTACATAACAGGCAACACAAGACAATCTAAACACTGGGACAAAGAGGGGAGGGAGGGAGGGAGGGGAGCCAAGCCAGTGCCAGCAGTACAGCCCAGAAAGTCATTACAGGAACCAGGGAGGGGCGGGAGGGTTGAGCCAGGGAGGCTCAGGCAGACCAGGAATCCCGGGGAGCCAGGGTGGGACCGGAGGAACAGACCAGGGAGGCTCCGGCTTAACAAGAACCCCAGTAGGCCACCAGGGCGGAGCCGGAGGGACGGACCAGGGAGGCTCCGGCTTAACAAGACCCCCGGCGGACCACTCAGAACTGCAGAGAATGGGGCTTTTATTAATAATAAAAATAAATAAAACCGCAACAAAAACTACCCCGTGGGGGGAAAACAGACTGGCAAGGCAAGAGCCGGACACGACACATCCAGGGAGAGATGAAGACGAACTGACGCAGGACTGCAAACACAAGGAGAATAAATGGAGCAAATGAGGGTAACGAGGGACCAGATGTGGGGCAAATTAATCAATCATCAGGTAACAAGATGGGAGGGGTCAAGACAATTGACATGAGCACACCGAATCAAAAGACAAAAAAAAAGCCATGTGCTAGAACAAAAGACACGAATACGCAGCTAATGAGAAAACTCATAAGCCGTGTGTTCACACAAGACAACAAGAAAAGCACGCGGCTGAACACAAACCGCGTGCTACACAACACGTGGACAGAAGAGCGCACGGCCCCCCTCAAAAGGGATGCCACCTGGCGTCCCTAACGAGGCACAACAAAACAAGACAGGAACATGACAACACAAGACAGCTACATAACAGGCAACACAAGACAAT